TAACAACGACCACAACGTTACGTAGGGGTATTGAATTTTACGAACCGCACAAAACACTAACGAAAAACGACGAGGACAATAATAGTGTGATGGGCGGCGGCATAAGCCGACAACACGGAGATGCGGATTTGATAATGAGAACACGTACCTCATACGGTTCGTCAATAATGGCGAATGGTTCAACGGGCTTGGAAAAGACTACACTCTCCACCGAAGAATATAAGGCTATGCGTAATAAATCAAGCGCAACATCATCATCTTCCTCATCTCAGGCGACTGTACTGAGTGCGGGTTCAACAGGGACATCGGCCGCGACAACTTCATCCGATGATTCAGACGATCTCATTTCATATAAATCATCAGCATCGACAAATGCATTGTTGGCTCAGTCTCAGGCTATGACAACAACGCAATTAATGTCAAAATATTTAAAACGTGAGCCACGAGTGCAATTTACACCAATTAAATCACCTGATTCACCCTCACCGCCAGGTGCTAACGATCATTTACCTAGGGGTACTTATCATTTTACTAATAAAACAATGAGCGGTACAACTGCTGAAACGAATTCAAATAATAAAACTAGAATGCCTTCTTCGCCATCGAGGCATCCAACAAGCAATAGTTTAAGAGAATCATCATCATCATCATCATCATCAACAACAACAACAACGTATACCACTGTTGGAACCACCGGATCCTCATCAGCAACTGTTTCGACTGGCCGCCGTCTATTTGACAGTTTAGCAACTGAAATGGAATTAAGCCGTTTAACAACGGCAGCAACAACAACAACAACAACATCATCATTATCATCATCATCATCATCCACTGCAACATATTCAGATTTTAGAAACAATGTAGCTAGTAGTCACATTAGCAATAAGTTGCAAAGCTCAGAACATCGTACATTTGGCAGCAATTTATTTAATACAAGTGAACGTAGTCCTTTTAATACAACGAATGGTTCACATAATGCAATGCATTTATATGGTACATTGCCAAAGCAAACTAACACAAATAATGGCACAACAGGTAACGGTTCCCTATATAATTCGACAACAGCCAGCAGTAGCGGCGTTAGCTCTTTAACTGGCTCGGCCAGTAATTATGACTTCCACTCGAACGCAACAACCACCGCATATTCAGGTTTAGGTTCAATATATGCTACTTCCAGGCCATTTAGTAATGGTAACGGGTCTACGTCAACAGTATCTAATGCGTATGGTACAACGACGACGGGTAATGGTGGTGGTGGTGGTGGTGGAAATTATCATACATTGGGTACGTATCGTGTGCAATATGCCGCAACTAATCCATTTTTAGATGCTTTCGATGTACCCAGTAACGGTAGTGGCAGTGGTGGCAATAATAGTTCCAATAACAGTGAGCACGGTAGTAATGGTGGAGTCTCAATTAACTCCACCAGCACTACATATCAGCGCTCATCATTAATGGCCGCATTGCATGGCAATGATTCAAAAAAACGGTAGCGATGAATACGATGACTTGAAATAAAATTGAGACTGTTTTTAAAAGTAAAAATATATATAATACACAAATACATAAACACACTCAGATATACAACACATACAATCGCTCGCACATACACGCAGAAATGCAAAAAAGCAAAAATATATTTACACTTAATGGTCGATCGTACCCCGTATACACGACATGTTACATACGACAAAAGTTCGATAATTATTGCATTTATGTATCATAATGAAAATATAATAAAAAAAAAAAAATTTTTTTTATTTTTTATTTTTTTTCAATTTTTAGTTATTAACATTACAATATCGCTGATCGATCGATCGATCGTTTTGGTAAATACAAGAGATGAAGAAGAAAGAGATTTTCATAAACACCAACACACATACATGTACGCAATATTCATATTCACATTTACATTCACATTCACATTCACATTCAATACACATTCACACACGCTCTAATAAAGACAAATAAACGGTTTATATATATACAACGTGAAATAACCCAACCAACAGATAACAATAATTTTCTTTAATTTACAACAAGAATTTTGCATGTGAGATATATAACGAAAGCAGAAAAAAAAAAAAAAAAATGTGGAAAATATTTTAGGCTACAAATAAACAAATTTTCATTTTACTTCTAGTTCTTCTTTTCTTCTTTTGGAAATTTTTTTTTTCACAATTTTTGATAATAACAACAAAATGTTTACAGTGTTTACAAACTCTTTACAAATACGATTTACTTATTTATTTATATATATATATACATCTATATATATATATATATATATATGTATACATATATATATATACCATAAAAATATTAATACAAATATAAAATGAAGTATATATATGCATGTATGTATGTATGTATGTATGTATGTATGTATGTATATATTGTATGTATATATATACATTTTTGCTGATTAATGATTGTATATACTATATATACACTTGTATAGGTATATATGTAGATGCAATTATATATATGCAACATACAT